CTATTGGATACTCACTTCCCGGGCTGCAATACACAAGACCAAAGTGCTAACGCAAACACCGTCAGCGCAGTGCGTATGAACAAAAGGACAAGAGGCCTAGCGGACAGAATTGTCAACAGAAAGGTTGCGGTGGACTACTTCAATGTTAAGGGCATACAAATACTCTGGTCCAGATGATATTTACCCATGCATGCTGCAGCAGGGCCTAGGGTCCATATCCGATACCTTACTCAGACTTTTGAGAGCAAGAGACTTAACGCTAGACTTGCGCCATTGTCTCCCACACTATCCTTACGGAGTACATACATATGTACATAGTAGACGGCGGGATTCAACCAGGTAGAAGTACTGTGCAGCTTCTTTTCTTGGAACCCAGCTGTTCATGCCGATCCATGAAGACGGTAATCTGCTCGATCTCGATCTGTTGTCCATTGCAGCTGAATTGTAAGTGTGCTTCTGCAGCCTGGAAGGTGCCTGTATAATTCGGAATCCCCGCAGAAACTAATAAGCCTATGTAGAATAACATTGAGCAAAACTTATAGCTTGCTCCAAATTGAGAAGTCCTAACCGCGCCATTCGAGATCAAACGAAGAAACAGAAGGATCGTAATCGTAGCAAATTTGAGCTTAAAGAAAGAGACAAACGAAGTCTGTGCACAAAGAGTCCTCGCATAATGGGACACAAGTCTCTTTTGGAAGTTCCAATTTTGAAATAGTGAAGGACTTTGTCTACCAACCATAGTTCTGGATTACTTGCTACAACAAAAATACCTAAATACTTCTGTATTAAGTAGTTAGAATATATCGAGAGCAATGGCGACAATCTCTTGAGGAACATGCGTCATTATTTCAAGTCGAGGTATTTGCATTTCTCAAGGTAATGGACTACAGCGAGCAGAGCAATAAGAAAAGCCAGGGAACGAACATAACAATTATTGATGAAAACTGTCATTGAAAAATTCGCTATGAAGGAAATGTCTTACAACTAAGTGATACATACCAATCGATTTATTTTCTCACCGAAAATAAAATTTGAAAATAAACTTTTATTTGTAATTTTTATGCAAAATTAAAAAATAGCCATTATTTTCGATTTTTGTTTTATAAATCAAAATAAAAATTATTTTTGATTTTTATCTAAATAATCAATAAATAACGTTATTTTTTTATTATATGTCTTAGATAACAGTATTGAAGGATCTTATTTATACAATAAAAATAAAAAAATCTGTTATTTAAAGGAGTATTTAAATAAAAGTCAAAAAATAATTGTTAACGGCGATTTTTTTTTTGGCCCACCACGAAGCTCCTCAAGTGACTGATACCCATTTCCGAAAGCTCATCGGGAGTGTGGAAAAAGTGCGACCCTAGGTGCTTAAGCCTTAGTCTCCCAAAAGCGGAGCAGCAGGTGTTGTGATAATTACACCAGGGCAGGCCACAAAAGCAGCAAGCGTGAGATAGTTGCACGTCATCGTCCTCCATTCAGCCTTATCGCATGCTTACCTATCACGCAACGACTAGTTAAAACTCGTATCAATAGCGAGATGTGAAAATTGCTTAGTCTCAAAAGCTTTCTGGACCTCATCCGGTCTACACGGGGCCAGCAGGATTTAGTCATCTTGCATTCTAAGGTGTTCGCCAAGCGGACGCTGAGCTGACCAAACTCCCATCGGTCCAGGAGTAACCCACTCAGATTTTCTTTACCCGGGAGTATTTCCCTTGGGTTCCGTGCCTTGTCAGCTCCTCAGCCATGCAGTTTTCAGTGATTTCGCTGTGACCCTGAACCCAAATGAGCTTAATCCGATGTGTTCGATAAGGAGGTTCTCGAACGGACGGCTAGCTTTGCCTTCGAATAGATATTCAGCTCTTTCAAAAATGTATTATTATATAATGTATCCGAAGCCTCCTGTATTGCGACTACCCCTGCTTGGAAAACGCTATAGCCTAATTTTTAGCTTAAATTTCAATTTAATGGTGTTCTTCGCAAAAGACATCTCCACCTACCCTCCCATTTAGCTTCGATCCTTCCGTAAATACATTTAGGACCCCAATTCCCGATACTTGGCCCTTCCCAGTCCTCTCTCGCTTAAATAGGGATGGTTAAAAACCCCTTCGAACCCAAAATCGGCGTGCAGTGATATGTTAGCGTCGGTACGAACATGAAGCTTTTTAGAATACTGGAGTGCCCATATGTAGCTCGAGGCGAACTTAAAAGTCCAACCCACTTAGCCTTACTGACAGCTCCGCCTGCTATACATATCTATGGGCTCAACGTTTATATTAAGCATTAACGCCGACGGAGTGGTTCGAAAGCCCGACTGCTTGGTTCCACCAAACGAGTGCCTCATATAATAAAATTGGCTTTCAGTATAGTTTTGTGTATATTTAATACATAAAACAATCGTCCAAAGTATTTTCTTCTAATATTTCACCACTTTTCTTCAAAATCAGAATAGACAAAGATTTTCCGCTACATGATAGTAAAAATATAAGCAGTGTACCTATTCATGTTGAGCGCGTATAAACCCATAAAAATATTCATATATACTTATGTACATACTTAGTATTTAAATGCCTGCTATGTATATACATACATACATTTCGTCGTTTAAAGTACAAAACCGCGTATCGTCATTCTGCAAAACCGCGTAACTGACATTTGCTGGCAAAAATTGGATTTGCTCTAGAGATGGGACGGGGTATCGGGACCCGCAGGATCCGCGGGACCAGCAGGACCCACAGGACTGATTTCAAAATGGCCGGGATGGGTGGCATCGGGAAGTCTTTAAACATTTTGCGAGCGGGACGGGACCAGAATCCTTTCCCGACACTCCCGATAAAACTTGCAACCTCCGAAAATTCATAAGTTTCCTTAAAAAAGTTGTATGAAATTAGCACTTTTTTATGTTTTATTGAGACGAAAACGAACAGCAAAGCAAAAAAATATCAAAAGATGCCAGATCTTTCATTGTTTTTTTTTTTGTTATTTAAAATTAATTTGAGACATGTGAATTAATCTTAATTATAGACTTCGGGCCTATGGAACCCGCGGGACAATTCTGAAAAACGTCGGGATGGGCGTGTTCGGGACTTCAAAATCGAGTTTTGGGATGGGCGGGAACGGGATTGAATATTTAGTCCCGTGCCCATCTCTAATTTGCTCACACAGTTCTTGGCTCAATCCTTATCCATTCATCCTGAAATATACTAGGAATTTCTTTATAAAAAGAGAACCATTTTGAAATATGAGTGTTTTTACTCTCTAGAAAATAATTTATGCAACCTCACATACGCGGTTTTGCATTAACTTGATACCCGGTTTTGCATTTTGTTGATACGCGGTTTTGTACTTTAAACGGCGATATGTATTTCAAACATCCCAACGACCAAGAATTCAAAAGCGTTTGCCATATTCCATGTGCAACCGACGAAACAATATTTTTCTAAATCGGCTTTAGTTCATAAAAAATAATAGGTTCCCTTGAACTGCATATACATACATACATAGTACATATGTATGTATGCATACATTCAAGCAAACATATCGCACACCAACTCAAAATTTGGCATTTGTGAGATTATGCGCAAAAAATGTACACAACGCTTTTATTTACCTTTCAGCAAAAGATGGAACAAATTTTTGTTATACATAATTTGTTAGAAAAAACCTAAGGTAAAGTCGTCCTTGCCCATATGATTATCATTTCCTAAGAAATAGTTTTTCGCAAACGTACTATTTTGAGTTGTGACTCTTTTGAAGACGGTGTGATATGTATGTATAAAAATTAAACGGTCCCTTAAGTTGGAAACTTCTTATAAAGTATACCAACAAACCAAATGTTTAATAATGATAGGGCGACAAAGATAGACTTCTAATTTGTGTAACATTAACATAAGTAAGCTATGAGTAAGCTATAAGTAAGCCCCTGAAATTTTTGGCATCTCGGCGACGGTCGGTTTCAAACACTGGGGCTTTATAAGGTAGGTGTGGTGCATGAATCGTTGTTAATGAATGTATGAGCCCATAATTTTTAAAGTGGTCTAAGTTCCTTCATACCTCTAGAGTTTAAATGACCGGTTGCAAGTAACCAAATGCATCTGTAAATTGTCCTATTCTCATAAACTAATGACAAACCCGTTTACCTTTGGTTGATGAAGTTGAACTAATACAGATACAGGTAAATGATCGTTTAAACACAAAAGACATGAAGTGACTAAGATCGCTTTCAAAATTATGTATGTGCACACGTAAGAATAGTAACTCTATTGACATATCGTCGCTACCATGTCAAACTATCGAATGTACAAAAATACTTTTTCATTTACGATACCTTGCGCATGCGTTTAGAATGATACGTAAATAAATTATTAAGCAATTTTCTATTTTTAGTTTCTTGGGTTAAGAATTCTACCGCACAGCGCCAAGCTGATTTCAAACATGTATCGTACTAACAACTATGCACGCTGAAAATTCATTTTGCTTCCTTGGAACCGTAACAGATTGTGAGCTGCGTACAAGTCGCATTAAGTTGATTTTTTACAACTTTTTCACATACTGTTTGTGTGCTATGGAACACATGCTGTGACGTTGTTACCGATTTCAGGCAGTCTGATAGTGTGCTCACATTGCGCGCCGTGAGATTCTGCTACTGTTGCTGACTATAAGAATACTTATTATGATGGTAATGATGCCTCAGCTAATGCTCGTTGATGGTTTTAGAACAGCTTTCTATTCTTATCACAACCAGCACACGCCTCTGCCACGGCAGCAAGAGTGAAACACTGAAGGGATGACAATAAATTTAGCAATTTCAAGCAGAAAACATATGAGCACTGCTTTGATTCGGCGCTTCAGTTACAAGAGTAGCATAATGTACGCATATATACATGCACAAATATATCTCTATATGAATGTACATATATATTTCATATTGTAAGTGTAAACAAACTATGCTTGCACAAATGTATTTAAACATATTAAATAAAAACCTACATACTTACGTAACATAAAGAGTACAATTTTGCTTATCACAACATAAAATAAGAATTTGCTTATTCCATTGTCATATCATCTGGAATTTCCGAATCCTCAATAGTGCGCGTCGCCGGTATATAAACTTTAAATGCAAATTTCGATTTAACAAAAGATCCTGTGTTTAGCACAGTACAACCGTGTTGAGTTGTTGCGAAACTCTGGCACGAGTCACCTATAACTACCAAATCGGGCAGCGGATATAACCACAAAGCGGCATCATAGTCCCAATGCACTGGCATGGCAATCGGATGTATGGGAGTCACATGGTTCTGGCATACTAGTGTGCGTGCAAAATGTTGTTCGATATTATCAGTATCGGGTGGAAAATGTAACGTATTACGACAGAACTTAGCCATCAAGTCCAAACGACAAACAACAATCTGTTGTGTACAATATTGCAGACGACAAGGGTTGGTCGCGAGCAATGTACGCGGCCATGCTTTGCGCAAACCCGTCGCAAGTGATTCAGGTAGGGTGGCACGTGGTAAAATATTCGGTGCTGTAGGATCTTCACAAGACGGTACTAATATCAGATCCGTTTGCTTCTTCAACTGATCACATCCCGCAGCTAATGCGCCCAGAGCAGTCAAATTTTGCGACAATGTATGATAATTACTATTGGTAGCAGCGAACGAACCCATTAGCACTATTGCTACAGGTGGACAGGAATCGTAGCCAACAAATAGCATGCGTAAGCGTTCTAAAACAACAGGATTATCTAGACGCACATCCGACAGAAACACAAGCGTAGCTTCAGTGTTGGTACTCTCCAATTCTTCCAGCCTTATGGAATATTTCAACAATTTTGAAGACTCGCCACCCCAACTGTTTTGTGTTCCAAAAAATGCTCGTGAACTAGTAGCGGGTTCAGCTGGCGGAAAACCCAGGCCATCAACTGCGATAAATTTAGTGTTTATATTTGGCAGATTAGTTATCGTAGATTTTTAAAAATTATTACCTTTGAGAACGCCATTGTTATATGAACCTTCAGCCAACACAAAGCAGCCCTCACAGAAGAAACCTGAATGAAAGCGCGTTCCGCACAAGTCCAGCTCAAGGCAACCTGTAGGATCTTCTATGTAAAATTTTCCTTCTTTTAACTGTGTCAGCAACCCGAGTACCACTGCTTCCTTTACCGAGGATGACGCAAGCAAATTTTCTGCATACTGCAATTTAAACTTTTTTACCTGCGATTCCGTTGAAACGCCACCCTCTATTATAGGTGGTGCAAATAACTCATGCCGCAGAGTCTTTTGCAACAGCATGGCATAACGTTCACGCAAATATCCTGATTTCATCGCTGGTTGTGTGAGAATGCAACGCGGATCTCGATTCAATTCGAATTTCTTGCTTTGGGTATTGTAATGGTAGCGTGGCACTTTGAATGCATCAATAAGCGTAAAGACTGTCTCGCCCTCATCCAGGCCCACGCGATTAATTTCATTTATAGCTTTTTCAAGTACTCCTCTTTCCACTTGTGTCGTTTGCAAACGCTGGCCTTGCAAATTTTCTGTGATCACCGTCAGCCACTTCTCCCGTTCAGCCTCATCAAATGGCAGGAGCTGCTCGGCCAAATATGCGCTATTCTCCGAACGTATAAGAAAGCCGCTTAGCTTGAACGAGCTGGTAATCTTCCTTTTTAGTCTAGTGAGGTCATCCATTTTAGTACAAAATTAATAATTTTTGCGTAAATTCCAAAGAAATAAATAATACAAACAAAAGCATTTTGCACAGCCGAAAGTGGCGCCAAAAAAGTGAAAAAGTGCGCCCAAGTTGCAAACATAAAGGTTGAGGTTTGTTCTGCGAATTCGGACTCATAGAAGGAAAAGTAGTCGCTGGGCGGCGCAATTGCGTTACGGCATTATTGAGCTAGCACCATAAAAATTGCACCATGGCTAACTCAGAGAGAAGGAAAACTAACCAAAGTACATAACGCAAAACCCGTAATAATTTGCAAGCGTCCTGAACATCTGATCAATTTTTAGTTTATTCGCAGCAATTTTCTTGCAAGCTGTTTGGACACATGGACACCAAATCGTGAAAATTTGAAACAATTTTTACAAATTCAACTTAGTATACAGCTTTCAAGAAAAAATCTGAATAAATATTTTTCATTACTCTTGTTTACGTCCAGCGGCGTTCGTGTCCTAGTTTTTAGAGAACAGGATCGACTTCAAGTAAAATCTGGGCCCGTATCTCGTCATTCGTGACCGAGTGATTACTCGTTTCGAATCGAGTCAAACAAAATGGCAGCTGTTTTCTCCGCAATACTATAGGTTTGTATAGTAACCAATAGTCAGTACTAATTTGTATTGGAACCTGCAAATTTTTACTGGAAAAGTGTATGATAAACCAAAAAATTTGCAAGAGAGCACTGAATCGAGAGCGTAACAACACGGGAGAGCTGCAAATTCTTGCTAGTGAATTTTTTACTAGCAGAAATTAGCTAGCAGAAGAAGAAGAAGAATAAATGTCAAAAGCCGCCATTTGCTGAATTTCTTTAGCACAAACAAAAGTAAAATGACTGGAAATCAAAATATTAATGATGTACTGGACAGTGTAAGTGCTTGTGTGTAAAGCAAAGAGTTTAAAACTGATTTATAAATAGTAAAATGTTTACAGTAGAATATCAAAACGGTGCAACAACTATTCACTTGCAACTTTTTACTAGTTTTGTGTTCAATAACTTTTTCTGCTAGTTTTCTCTTCTTCTCAATTTTACGCTCTATTTTTGCTTTTACGCTCTCGCTGCAATGTTTTACTGGAGAAGTTACTATACAACCATGCCACGATCTAAAAATCAAATTTCGATTTGAGTAACGTTCTATTTTATTTTAGCTAACAGGTAGAAACTTCAAGTTCGGACTCGTACGGGATCGCAACGTGCTCATGCTTGGAAGGACTTTTTATACAGATTGGTCTGCACTTGGTATCAGCTGAGTTTGACACTGCACATTTGTTTGTGCTCATTATAAGAAATTGTGAAAACACAACGAAAGGGGAAATATTCTTATTTAAGGGGTTTCTAGCGAAGAAATTCTTGAAATTAAAAATGTTAGACACCTGCCAACGACGTCACATGCTGCTTGGACTCAGCCTGCTAGTGTCTGCGACCGTTGTAGTGCTAATGGTGGAATCCCGTTTTCCGGACAGTGAAACTACTCGGCGCTCGCGTGCACAACAGTTCGTCATTGAAAACAATTCCACTTGCTGGCAACGAGAGGAATATACTGTAATCTTGGAGTGTCATCCCTGTACCGAATTCGATATTATAAGCAAAAGTCTTGGTGTCTGCATTCACACGCACTATAAAGAGGTGCTACGCTGCAAGAGTGGCGAGACGGTGACGCGTAGTTGCGATCGGGTGGCCTTGATTGACCAGCGTAATTTTATTAAATTCGAAATTACATGTTTTATTGTTGGTCTATTTAGCTACTTAGTATCATATGTACGAGAACGGATACTGACAAGGAGAACTCATTTAAAAATCGAACGAAGACTGAATCGCATGCAATAGCATTAAAACGAGGTACGTATGTGCAAATCTATAAAATTTACCTATTGTGTCCGAGTTTTAAAGTATAATGCGTACTTATATTTTGCAGCTTTCCATTTTTCGACTTGAGTGTAGTTGGTTGAAGATACTAAGGTTTTATATCCTAGTAAAGTTTTGAGATTTGTATGCTAAGTTTCCTAGATTAGTTAAAAGTTATTTTATTGGACGAGTTGGCCTAAGCGAGGGAAAATAGGTGTGTATAACTATTTGAAAATTTTAGTGACGGCCTCTGAAGCAAATAGCTGAGGCCATTTTTGGCATCTCTGCTGCTCAGAGTTAGCGCAAACTGTAGGATACGCCCAGGTCTGAAGTTAATTCGGGCTTTTTTTTTAATTTAAACTACTCTTGATACATTAGAAGCGTGGCTTTGTTTTGATTTATGTATAATTTTTGGGCCATTATTAATCTTGTAAGAATAAAACATTCGATTATTTATTTAGTAATATATTGAATAACTTAATAAAAATTATAAGTTTAATAAAAATGTATAGCAAATACAATTAAATGAATAAAAACAGATTATGTAAAAAATGATTTTTTTAACTATAAATATTGCCAAGTAAAATGTATAAAAGATAAATACATGTAATTTAAGTACACTTGAATAACCGCCAATTTAGGATAAGTATGAACATCAAACTAGCGCCGTTCCTCAATCAATCCTTGCGTTAAATTTGCTCGACTGCTATTAATCGCAATACGTTGTCAATGCATCATGTACCTCTTTTGCTAGAGTAATACAATATAATATCGAAGTACATATATTCTAAGTGAATAACTCTAGCTATATCCAATGAATACATTAGGTGCACATAAGAAATTAATTTTGATTGCTCTTCGGCGACTGTTGTTTCTTTTCATTTCTTATTTCACTTATATATTTTTTACCTACTTCCTCCGATCGGATATCAAATCGGGCTCAACAATCGTTGTGGATGCATTGCTTAGCTGCATGGAAACGTTTTCACTACCACCCGTTACGCTCGTATCCATGGAAGCGTCTTCACATTTTGATTCATTGCTATTGCCGTTGGCACTTTTTAAAGAGGTATCCGTCATTGGCAAAGGCTTGGCCACACCAATGCGAACTACACCTTTTGGCGCACCCTTTAGAGCTTGAACTGCTTGATCCAAAGATGCATTTTCTAAATTGATTGAATTGACAAAAAGCAAACGATCACCAGGTATAAGGCGACCGTCTAATTGTGCCACCCCGCCAGGTACCAACGAGCGTATAACAATTAGCGTATCGTTTGGATCTAATGGATCTTGATAGTCCAGTATGGAGAAGCCCAAACCGCGATCGCCCTTGACCAGTTCGATAATCTGCGGCTCGGACGACCACATTGCCAATCCGGTGAGTGGCTCCAACGAGCGTGACTTCAACTTGTTGAACGAGTCGTCGTTGACCGAACCCGCAGTGGCCAAGCTGCCATCGGATTTGGCTTTCACCAATCGATCTGAAGCCGGCAGTAAATTCTCAAAATTGCTACTTAATTTTTTTAGTGTGTCATCTGAGAACGGCATTATAGCAGTCTTGCCGCGTCCACAAACCATGCGCACATCTTGGGGCAACTCTTTCAGAATAGCTACTACTTCCAAATGATTCATGCCCAGCAAACGTTCGCCATTCACTTCCAAAAGCTCGTCGCCAGATCGAAGTACACCATTTACGCCAACGGGACCATCAGCCAAAATTGAACGAATATAATGATGAGGGCGTACTTCCCGTCCACCCTCAACGTCGACAGTGCCTTCAAGCGATATGCCCAAACCACCGACAGCAAACTTCTTAATTTGAGCGACTATAACATCAACATCGGTACCAACAATTTTTTTCCACTTGCGTATAATCTCTTGCTCGACATCTGGCGCTAGTATTGGATCGGTGTAGTATTTGTGACGTGAAATCAAACCTGTATTCTTAGCGTGCAGTGGTTCCTGGGCAAGAGAATGTTAATTAAGGTACAAAAAACATGATAATGGCTCAACTTACCTCGGCCCCAGCAAACTCACTCTCCGAATTGCCAACCGAACCGATAGATACGTCGGTTGGAATAATTTTAGGAGTACCATCAATGGAGTCGCGCACTGCTATCATTTTTTTGCCTGAACCAAAACTACTCAAAGTGGTGGTTTGCACAGACGAGGACGCCGAAGTGACGCCCATAAATGTATCTGGCGCCATATCTGGTGGCAAATTGGTTATGCCATCCAAAGGCGCATCGCGGAGATCCTCCATGGCGTGGGCTGAAGCCAACGATTTGGCGATTGCTGCAGAGCGTTGCGAAGTAACAGGTGCTATTGGCGAAGGCAAATTGACTCTCGATGGTGTCGACGGCATACTCGGTATCTTGTCATTGGCAGCAATGGCCTGCTGCAATTGTTCGTACTTGGGACCACGTAAGTAACGCTCCAGTCGCAGATTAACTACTTGACCCGATTTCTTAAGTAATTCAACCGCCTGATGATTTGAGAATCCTTGCAACGATTGACCGTCCACCTCTATAATCCGATCGTTAACGCGTATACGGCCGCTCATGTCCGCTGCCGAACCTGGCGATACGCTTTTAACAAAGATGCCTGAAAGTTCCTCCTTTTCGCATACATATCCAGCTATGGTGATACCAAGTCCATTAGCATCCTTGGTCAACTCTACTTGCAGTTTTTCCGTTTCGGGTAATGCCAATAATTCTTCAAAATCTATAGTAGGAACGGCCATTGGTGGACGCTTTGAAATGTCGTCCGACCGGTAGATAAAACGATCATCTTCTGTGGTAGTTTGTGGCGTGGAAGCTGTAGAGCTTTCACCAAATATCTCCGGATAACCAGTAGAGATTAAGTAACGTTCCAATTCAACTGGGTCGACAAGTACTCGCGTTGGTACAATTGCACTTCCAGGTTCAAGTGAAAATTGTCCTGGCGAAGACTGCTCCATTGGACGCGCCACTACGAGACGCACGTGCGTACCCGATTGCCGCAGCACTGCTGCCACTTGTTCTGATACCATATCATGCAAATTTACATCGCCAATTTGCAAAATGTGATCGCCTGAACGCAAACGTCCGTCACGATCGGCGACGCCACCAGGCAAAATTGTCTTTACCGTCACACCAGAAGTCCGCGCTCCAATGATGCCAAAACCTAGTCCGGTGCCGTCATTAACTAACTCTATTGCTTGTATCTGCGCATAATCGGCAGCAAAGAGATCGCCTGCAATTTTAGAGTTTTGCGACTGCGGACGACCTTGATCATCCGATTCGATTGCGCACGCTAACCCCGCCGGTGTCAATTGTCCACTTCCTGGGCTGCTTGGTCCAGAATGTGGAGAAAGCGGTGCTGATGAGAAATCATACATAACATCGCCACCGTTGATGCTCAACACCAAGTTGCCAGCCACATCGATATCGAAGTCATTGGGAAGCATTGATGGGTGTTGCGCCAATTGAGCGTTCAATTCAGATAGCGAATCCTGCACATGTACTATGGTGCGAAATACGGGATCTTGTAAAATATCCAAAATAGTCTTGAGGCTCTCTGCCGTCTGCATTTGCAGCTTTGCATCCTCAGATTCATCGATGCCCTTCTTCACGGCCTCGATCTGCTGAAGAGCACTAGATATGTCTGCACCTAAATGCATTGGAATGTATGAGTGATAACTTTACCACAAAATATAAAGATCAATTAAAATATTTTTTCGCTTTTGTTGCCTGCAATAGCTTGTAAATTGGCGAAATTATAAAATTTTCACTTGTCGATTTGCTTCGCTAATTTAATTACAAAAAGTGATAACAAGTAGGGAAATATAGTGCTGCCATTTTGCTAATAAGTGTTACCAATTTGAGGAAAGATTTTTATTGGACTTATTTTTCGTCTTTTGTTTTTATGCATTCTTCTACACACTATTCGTAAATATTTACATAAAATGTGTTGTGAAGCGTTCTCCCTTGCAGTTATTTTAGAAATAACAGTCGCAATTTTAATATCACGCAATACTTCTTATATTGCAATCCTTTGGAAGGAATAAACTACTTAACTATTTGCAATAGTTGTTGCATCAAAAGATAGAGAATTAAAATAACTTTCAGAATTATAGGAAAAAAAAACTAGTTTAAAATCCATAATATGCCTTTTTTTCAAGCTCACACTTAACGATCATGAAGCATTCGCAAGTGAACGACAAGTTTTGACAGATGTGTGTGAGCGTACATAAGTCCCCTTTCAAACACGTCAAGTCTTGAAAGCATTTTTTATCGCATTCTCTTTTGTGTTTTCTCTTTGCTTCCACACGCATCAAGTTTTATTGAATTCAACTACTTGGTTCTTTAAACGGGAAGCAACGAAGAGATCAAAAGAGAACAAGAAAACTTGAAACGAATTGACGGTTCGGAGGTATCTGTACTCTTCCCCTCTCTTCCCACCTCCTTCGCCAACGAACGAGCAGACTTGAAAGCAAGACTTGACGTGTCTGAAAGGGGACTAAGAATACAAATGGAATTCTTTGCCTTTGCGAACCATGGTACAATAAAAACAGGTAGAAGCCAATTTGACGTCAAACTTTCAAAAGTCAAAGTTTTCGGGAGAGTAAAAATAAAAATGAGCGCGTGTAAGGAAAAATAAAAAATTACAATTCCCCAGTTGACGTTTTTAAGTGAATTGGAAGTTTATTTTTATTTATTTATTTTCTTTAGTTAAAATTTGTTAATTTGTTTCTGATACATTGAGTAAAATAACATTGGAATTTTTAAGCATTTTAAATTATTAGTTGCGTTCCCCTACTTTTCTGGGTTAAAACCTGTAAAACTGTCAAAAAGCAAAATAAGCCAGCGGACCGAGTACGGGAACGCTTTCTGGTAAATTCCTGTAAATTCTGCTACTTCTTGCGAGTTAGGGATCGCAACAATTGTGTAATATATAAGACCAATTTATAAATACTGTTATAAAATAATTTTTATGAGCTTGCTATTTCCCAAAGAAAAACAAAGTTCTTTCTGCGTCTGCAGCCGTTTGTTGAGATGTTTCACGCGAAAGTGAATACGACATTTAAAGAAGAATATATAGCTTTCATTCATTTCTTCATGGAGTTGGTGCTTCTTTTATAGAAAAATGCATACGGCTTATGACCAGATTCATACCATGTAAATGCACCATAAATGATTTTCCATACAAAATCACTTCGTCATTATTTTGCACAAACACATGCATGCGCTGGAAGTGAGAGAAGGAGACAAAAAGTATGTGCTTGTATTTCGGCGTTTGAGTAACAGATGGCGCCGTTCCGGGGACGCATTTATAACCTAATCGTAGTATATGTATGTATGTATGCATGTATGTACATATTTAAGTTGATTGCACTTAATGTGGATTTGTTTCTCCTTCAGTAATCTATCAATGCATAATACGCGAAAACTTTTTGTCTTATCACACCTACTTGGCCTGTAGATGTGCAATACCGTTTTGTTTTTTCAAAAAGAGTTGCCACCTGAAAAAAATGATTTCAAATTATTTATAAGTTAAATCAATTATAACAATGTGGGTATGTTGTTGTTGTTGTCGAAATGGTTGCATTTCTTAATTACATGTAGGAGGGTTGCCACCTGTTTACAAAGTTAAATTGAATATATGCAATAGTTTAAATAAATTACTTTAATATGGATATCAATCAAAAATGCCTCGAAGAAATTATATTTCCCTCATACTTCTAAGATTTAAAAACTAATTCAACTTGAGTTAATGGAATTATGTAATTCAAATGTATATCACAAAACGGATATCTGACCAAAAAGGTCTAAAAAAGCTTTAGTTTGAAAATATTTTGAACATGGTTACCACCTGTTTACAAAGTTAAATTTTATGTACACTATTGGTCCAAGAATGATAGAATACAAGATTGCGCCGTCCTGGGCGTTGACATTTGTGTACCACAAGTAAACAACGAATAGAGCGAAAAGAAGAACGAGTTGAAACTGCCAAAGCAGTTCACTTTACAGCGAAAAACGTGTTTTAATTTTGCTAAATGCGAAAATATTGCATTTTTCACCTAATCTATTAGAGAACAGTGAACAATTTAGTGCACTCCATTGCTTTGCAATTGAGGCTGCTTCAGCAAACGTTTTAGTACACTCCATTGCTTTGCAATTAAGGCTGCTGCAGAAAACTGCAGCAGCATCTCTGCGGGATTGATTAGTTAACTTGCTAATGGAGGCTGCGTGGAGCAGAAACAAAATCATTGTGAGGAATTGCTGTTAATATAATAATAGAGAAATATTTCGGGAACGGCTTTGCCGTGCCCTATGTACACAAAATGCAGCGATTCGTCCCAGCGCTACACTTGCATCTACGCTTCTTGCATCTTGACGGCTGTCGCAATTTAACACACATCACTTCATTGTATTAGTTTTTACGCAGTCTTCAACTCAAAAATCACTCACAAATTGCAAATTAACACAATTTAAACTGATTTTTCACTTATAATTCATATTTCTCTTTCGCTGATTTGTAAACAAAGGTTTATTTACAAGTTACCACAACTGTCAAAATCGGCAAAACCAAAGTAGCGGTACCACTGACGGCGCCACCTTTGTTCGCTGCACCGTGCTATTGGTCAAAGGAATTACTACCATATGGGTATCGATCAAAACGGCTTTTAAAGTACTTTATTTCTAAACTGTATGTAGGAGCGTTGCCACCTGTTTACATAACAAAGGTTGACTTAATTTAAGGCAATAAGAAATTTTAAATATGTATCCCGAAATTGGTGTCAGACGACAAGTGATTCGATCTCAGCCGGCTGGTCAAATTTGAATCGATTGGTCATGCGGTTCAGTTCTCTGGCTCGCACTCAATTTTTTCGTTGTGCAGTGAAAGCAACAACAATTGGTGACCAGGGATCATTTGATCGTATGCGTAACAGCGCCCTAATCCCATTTTCTAATTACAGATTAGGGAGTTATTTTACACGAAACAATAATGGCGCATTTACATGGTATGAAGCCATATGAACTGTTGATACGCTAAAATAGAGGGACTACATGTTCTAATGAGGAATTCAATGATATGGAGTGGGATGCATATAATAAATTTTTTCATATGAAAAGTTATGGGGAGATACTGTAAACATACTGTTGTGATACTGTTAAGCATATGAAATTATAGCAAGTTGAATTTTCATACATCTTCCCATAAAAAGTTTAACAGATGCAGAGATACCAAGGGGGGTTTTTCCCATTTTGATGCCTTTTTAATATAAAAACCCACCGAAAAGGAGGAAAGCGGCAACTCCGCCATTCACATACATGTCAAAAGTATGAATTTTAAAAATTAAAAACAATAAACAAACAAATTCAAAACAAAGAAATTCTTTGTACTAGAACTTTTTAAATTGAAGCCACTCACGTTTAGTGGACAATAAAAATACGAAGAACTATGATAACAAACTTACAACAAGACATTACAGAACATTTTAATGAGCTTTATATCACGTTTAAGTAAAAATAAGCCTATATTTTCCAAGCTGGCAAAGAAATGAAAATTTGATCGTAATGTATTTTCAATTCGAAATCAAACAAAAACATCCCACGAAAATGTTTGCGATTTTAGAACCATTAGTGAATATTTGCAAACTACTGCAAATAATACAGTGCCATATCTTACAAAGTTCAGAGTATTAACGAAACAAACAAGCATTTTATGGCTTCATGTTTCCTTCAAATCGCATTGTTATTTTTTCTAACTTTTCCTTTTGTTTAGCGCTGTAACCTATTAAGTTATATCTTTTAATTTATACGTGTGAACTATTTTCAATGAGCATTTTTTCATTTGCTCCAGAATTTTGGGTACATTTTCTAATAGTACCTCTCATTCTTTTTTATATTACATATATACACTCCGAAGTTCGGGATAGTATTTTGAATATACCAGCAATATATGTAAAAGTAGTGCCGGCTGCTGTAGAGCATTACGCAGAGCCTGAGTTCAAGCCCAGTTTTTCTAATAGTGGTTGCCCCTCTGCTGGTAATAGTAAACCTCCGAGTGTATTCTGTCATGGAAACAACTTCTCATTAAAATACAATTGCCGTTCGGAGTCGGCGTAAAACTGTCCTTTACTTTGTGTGACAAAATCACGCACGCCGCATATCGGAGGAGAAGCTAGGCCAAACACTAACATATTGTTCAAGCGATATACATATTCGTCGTTTAAAGTACAAAAGCGCGTATCGTGGTTCTGCAAAACCTCGGAACTGAAATTTGTGCCAAAAAAGATATTTGGTCATCGGAAGCTCCTGACATCAAGCCCTTAGCCATTTATAATAAAATATCGATATAATAAAATATCGACTTAGACATAAGGAGAGAAGATTATTAAGTTTAAAAGATAGAACCGTTTTTAAAATTTAGGCAACCTCCCATACGAGGTTTTGCATTTCCTTTATGCGCGGTTTTGTGCTTTAAACGAAGATATGTAGAAGTATTGCATACATATTTTGGTGCCCAATCAAGTATAAAATCCACTGAGAAACGGAAGAAAACGGCATCCCTATGATTTCAACTTATGCCAAACGTTTCGTAAACATGCAATTCTGAACAAAAAACTGTTTTTCCACAAAGATGTTTAAATGGAAGCATTACAAATATGGAAAAATAGCAATCCACAAGGCTTTATTGGCAGTAGGTCCTTTTTAAAGCACATTTAACAAAAAAATGAGCTTCTAGTTTCGAAGCTAGCACAAAATAAGATTCTTTTATTTGTTGTTTACAAAAAAAAATATTGTCTAGTATACAAGTCAAAATTGTTAAATATATATCGCTTTCATTCATTTCTTCATAGAGTTGGTGCTTCTTTTATAGGAAAATTCATACGGCTTATGAACAGATTCATACCATGCAAGGCACATTAAACAGGTAGTATCAGTAGAGCAAAAACAACATTTGCGTGTATTTTGTTGTTGCTTCTGGTATCGAAAGTGTCAACAACTGTTCTGATTTTTTTCTTCTAAATCAAAGCGTGCCATGTGAAATACAAAAAATTATAAAAAATAAAAAATTGAAATTGGAAAAAATAAAAATTGATGCAACTTTCTTTCCTAGTAAATTTGTTTGCTTCTCGAAGCATTGATCCATCCTTTGCAAGGCCCAGTAATCAGCGGTCGTGCTGCCGAGTTGGGCGAACGTTCCAAAAGCTGCTATTCAATCGCTTGTTTTGTATGGAAAAAGGTTTCACAAGCAAATGGATTTTAACAACTTATAATTTTCGTGAGAAAAAATTAAAAATATTTGACATTTTCGAGACCAAATAATTTGAAAATAAATCAAATCAGCTGCTCTACTGATAATACCTGTTCAATGTACCTTGATACCATGTAAATACACCATAAGATTTTCTAACGAAATCTGCTAACTCTATACTCTTGCCACCAGCAGAGCTACCCACCCGGGCATAGGGCGTTTCGCCGCCCCTGTGGAAAACTAACTAACTAGGGATGAGGTTTACTAGGTTTGGCAGTATAAGTTCCTCGCCCCGCTCCAGCAAAACTTCGCGGATACCATCATGACCAGGGTAATTGTAGCGATCGAACGCCGATGCGATTGACTACTGCGGGAAAATGCCAGTTTCCACTCACATGGGGCTCTCGGAACTCCGTTCTCTGTTTGACGGTAGTGGCCTCCAGAAACTGGGATTGTCTTGTTTCTGTTGTCTCACTTGTTAAGGCTTTGCGTAGTCTTGCAGCTACAGGTATCGAGGCCATACCTTCACAGAAGGATTTGATGCTGCTCCCGACTAAGGACGCTAAACCCAGTACAGACCACAAAATGGAGTGGACTGTCTTAAGCGTATCAGGAGTATTCTGGCTATGTCAGGGGTATTTTCACTAATATGGATTTTAAACTACTAGGAACAATATTCAGAACGCATTTATTCGCAAAAAATTGGTTTTACATTCGCGCTCGGGCTTTAGTTGGCTAAAGACTGTCCTATCAGCAATCTAACTCTGTTTACGTTTACTCTCATAACCCACAGCTTTGACCACATAGCACAAGCTAAAATGGGAGGGATTATGAAAAAATCTTCATTCTACTTATTGCAGATAAATGATTTCTTTGAGCACTCCTAACACAACTTCAAATTTTTTGAGCTTAAATCAAATTGAAAATTTACCTCCACTTATTTAATTGTTATTTACGCGTATAACATGAATCGCACGGAACTGGATTATTATGCCATACTGAACGTTCCACGTGATGCACCCAAAGAGATTATAACATTGGCATATCGTAAATTAGCCATTCAGTTGTGTCCACATCGTGATCCGAAATATGAACGCGATTTTGTGCCCAATCTTGGGCCAACACACATGCAAACGCTGTCGTTGAATCGCCAATGGGAATACGTAAATATGGCGTACGATGTTTTGGGTAAGGCGTTGGTTTCAAAAAGGTCTATGGAAAAAATTTTAATGCAATGTGAACTTAATTAAGGCAATGATTTGTATCGCGCCATCTACGACCGATTTGGAGAGGCAGGACTCTTTCAAGGTATCCAACTGCCCAACGGCTACTTCCCACCCTATCAATATCATGGCGATCATATGAAGGTCTATCACGACGTGTTTGGCAGCTACTCACCGTATGCAAATATCATCGATATCGTAACAAATCCACCAGTCCTCTATTCATCATTGGAACATGGCATTGGTGTGCGCAAGAAGGATCCGCCAGTAGAGAAAATAATTTATTTGGAATTAGAAGAAGTATTTACGGGCTGCACAAAATTGATGCACGTCTGGCGCCAGGAATTTATCGATTCCAAAGAAACGGGCACAGAGAAAAAGTATGTAATTGCATAATAAGTAATTTTATTAAAATTTAATGGTACATATATTTTTTAGAAAGAAAACTCTCACACTCAAAATACCGTTCGGTACCACCGAAGGTACACGATTTTGTTTTAGAGAGGAAGGTGATCGCAGTCCAACGCAGATTCCGGCCGATATAATTTTCATTACTGCCGATAAGCCGCATCCATTATTCGTGCGCAGTCAGCAACATAACTTGGTCTACACGCATAATATATCCTTAAAGGAGGCGCTCTGTGGATTTAATTTTAAATTAAATACTTTAGATAAACGCGTTTTGAAAATTACTGTTTCCGATGTGGTTCATCCGGGTTATATAAAAGTGATGCCAAGAGAGGGACTGCCAAAGTGTGAAAATCAACCAATCGCTCCCGATATGAAGCCCGCAGGTGTGAAGAGAAAAAATTTCGGAGATTTGATAATCAAATTTCAGGGTAAGCACTAAAATAGGGTAAAACTCTTAACATTTGTAATGGGATATAGTGATGCTCGGCTATATATAATTCTCACTCTTGTGTTCACGTCCGCGCACAATGGGAAACCCATAAGGTAGGTACAGTTATCAACTCATTTGCAGTCTCAGGGCACAGCGGAAACTCTTCAACCGGTTACAATGTACTGGGAACTGTGACGGCTATTCGTCACCCCTAATCACCTATAAGAAAGAGATTAGCGAAGCCAAGATAAACCATTTTTTCGGCCAGACGACAGCTACATAACAAGCGAACAAAAAAGCGTTCCAGCCCTGCCGACCACCCACGTCTCAGGGCTCCGGTAGGAGAAGATATCGACGACTTTTATAGGCCCGCTAGGAAGCGTCTGACATATGTATGTATATGGTAATCATAACGAGGGGCATATTCGAAAATACCCTCTGTGACATTGTCTTAAGAACACTAACTAAGAGATGGTGTGCCACGGTGGGTCTTAACATCAACCCTGCCTCTGGCAGCCATAATCCCTTTTACCATTAGAAGAAACCTTCAAGGCAGGCACCCTATTTTTTACGCTTGGATGTACAGAGATAGAATTGTGCAATGAAATAAAATATCTAGGGGCAATTTTCGAATGCAAAATTTTATGGAAAAGGCAGGTAGAGTACGCTGTCACAAAAGCAACTCGAGCTTTAATGGTGTGCAGAAGACTGACCAGTAAATAATGGGGGTGCACGCCATACATCTTGCGGCGGATGCACCCCATGATAATCAGGCCAACGGTTGTGTATATATGAAGCGGTAGCATTGTCCGAGAGGACCGCTCTGAATACAGTGAAGGCATCGCTGTCTAGGCATCAGCGACTGGCGTGTACCTGCATAACGGGAGCCATGTCCACCTGCCCCATACATATGTATAGAACATAGACTGCCAACAAAGCCCCCTCAACTTTATGTATGAGGACATTAGCGAGAGAAAGGTGATTTACAGCAGACTGGGAGAGGATATCTCAACCAAGATTCCTATCTCACAGCTTAATCGACCTGGAACGCGACACTTTTATATAACACCTTTCGGTCCCACACCCAAAGGTGGCTCCCAGGTGGCTCAAAAACTGACGAAGGTATAGCGGCATGAATATACGGCCTTAAAGCCAATCAAGATCTCCATTCCGTTGGAGAATTATCCTAGTACTTTTACACCGGAAGTTTGTGCTGTTAGCTGTAGCGACAGGCAAGCTGTACACAACTCAGTAGGCAGCTCAAGACCATTTGTTGAAATATTTCCTATTCTAACTCCCGTGCTCACTTATTTCAAGGAGTTACTGTTTTTGTTATTCAATCTTTTTAAGATAACAATACAAAATGAATTGAAACAATTAAATGCAAGTATTATTTTATAATAAAATTTGTTTCTTCTTTCAGTTGAGTATCCAAAGTTTATGAATAACAAAATGCGCCAATTGACCAAGAACTTCTTCAAAGAACTGCATGAAATGCAAGAAGAAGCTGAAAACGCACCACACCCGCTGCAAAAACTTTTGAAAAAGAAGTAGACGAAGTAAAACTAAATCAGTTGAAAGATCATAAAGCATTGTTTTTAAATTAGCATTTTTTTATTTTATTTAAATTCAACGTATAAACGTAAAGGACTGTTACGTTTGAATGGATTTGCAATACATGTATGTACTATTTCCATCAATGTTCGTATGTATGTACATAAACGACATATGTATGTACGCAAATATGTACATATGTATGCGTGTGTGTATATGCACATCATACATTTTCTATATCCATATTTGTCTGATTACATATTTTTATATAATTATTTTTATTTATTTTTGTGAAGTATTTAAATTCAAAATGTATGTATGTATATAATTTGACTGCACTGTTTAGGCAAAAAATTTGAAATTTTTTCTTTACATGAATGTATGTGCACATCCATGTAGTATATACATGTGTATGTATATGATTAAGCGATCGAACTTTTTATAAAAAAATCTTAATTAACGATTTGTTAAAAATATAGGTATATGTATATTAAAAATTTCCCAATTTGTGTTTATGTATGCATGTGTGTTTGTATTGCGCTGTTGTGTGAAACCTTAGTTGTGTACTTTGCATTATACAACACTAATAATGTGATGTGATCTATAAGAAAAAAAAAACAATAAAAAGCCCGTGCAAAAAAGTGATTTATCTCAGCCAAAGAAAGGAGAAACATAAATTTTTTACATATGTTATTGAATTCTACATTTCCGAGTGAACAAAAAAAATTTAAGGCACTTAAAATTTTCTGTAACATTAAAAAATAAACTCTTATGCTGAATTGGCACTAGGTATTAAATGGCAACAATTGTAATGGCAAAGTTGGGAATTCAAAAAAATTCGAGCCATTACGTTAAAGAAATAATCATTAATTCATTTCCACCTGGCATTTTTAAAAAGTCTCCAATTTTTTGTCATTTCAATGCCTAGTGGAAATTCGGCATTAGAAAATAACAAGCAGCGGAAGTGCAGTTTTTTAAGATATCATAAAGTTAAGCAACGTATGTAGGTGCGTGAATTTATTTTCGAATAAAAAAAATATTAATTAGATTTTAAAGATAATTTTGTTTTTTTTAATTAAAAAAAAAAATCAATTCTACTAAAAATTTTATGATCTATGCTAGTTTTTAGTTGTGTCAATTTGTATGCAAGTCCAAATGTACTATATGTGTATTTGTAAAAAAATTAGTTACAAAATTCGTTTAAGACTTATACAATTATTTACATACATTAATACAAAAAGTATGGACATCAAATAAACTTACAAACGACTTAAGTCTTAATTATTAAGACTTAATTATTTATTAGTTTTTTTATTTGTAAAATTTTTGGGTTGAATTTTGTTATTATACGCGTGTAAATAATAATATTTTTACACATACGAACATATGCAACTGCAAGTCCTTAATTTACATCAATATTCACATAAATTTGACTACTTTAATTTTCTAAAGAACTTGGAGTATTTTTATTTTCAATAATTAAATTTTTAAATGGCACATTCATGTTCATATTTATTGTTTAAACTTGTGTGTTTAAAAAGTTTGCTTAAATTTAATTGCTGCTTTTAATTCAGTTAGCTTACTTACAAACATATTCTGTTATACATATCTACTTATGCATGTTTTTATTTTATTTTTTTATAGTTTTGTGATATACTTTTATACATACATATTTCCACACGAATTTTATTTAAGACTTTACAAAACGTATTCTTTGTTAAATTTTTATGTTTATGCGAAGTTGATAATTTTTTTATTGCAAATAAAAATAATGCGAAAATTAAAATAAACTGTACAAACTCAAAATAAAATTAAAGAATAATAATTATGTAATAATAGTTTAGTTCCCGTATTCTGCCCGTGGAAATCATACAGCAGTAAATTTCTGGCGAATTGTCACAAGTTCTCTCTCTCTCTGTCTCTGATAGAAATATTCGAAAAAGTACGCAAAAACATTGCAAGTTATATGAACAGCCGATTGGTCTGTCGTTTACATCCATAAGCACGAAACAAGAAACTCCAAAACTCGATTTTCGCAATCACTAAGCGATTCCACATAGACACTGGATAGTGGCATCCATAAAACCTTTTCTCTGTAAGCCAGTGTTATCAGCAATGCACCCGTTGTGTGGTAGAACAGATTCTCAATCGAATGCTTACCAAACTTTAAAAAACGTATTCCGTTAGCTTTACACGAATTTCCCTGGGGCTGCTTTGGATGCACTACTAAACCTACTATCAACTAATGTATGTGATGTGATGATTTGTTATATTTTGGAGTGAGACAGAAAATGTTAGAGGCAGAGAATTAGAAATTAATTTATATTAATATCACAGAGTATTAACACCATTGCCTCTGTTAAAGAGATTACTATTATGTGGAGTTCCCTGAGGCTGCGTCTTGGCCTACCATATTGTAAAATCTTCACCGATGGTTACGAAACGGACACAGGCTCAGGATCTGGAGTCTATATCAGTTGTAACGGGAACAAACTAAATCTCGCTCTTGCGAAATATGTCTCGGTATTCTAAGCAGAGGTATTTGCAATCCTAATAGCCATAGACTTTGAGGTGGAGAATAAGTAATGCAAGTCTTAAATTAATTATGTTGGGAGACTCAGTAAAACACAAGAAAATTTCATTAGAAAATCAGGCGACTTAAGGAAGGTTTCTAGACCTCCTGTAAGACCGTTAACCCGAACATGCTTAAATTATGGAATGCCAACCACATTGGAAGTAGTGCAGAAGATTGATCTGAATCCCAGTCGATGGCGAGATGAGTCCATGAGCCGCCGTACCGAATACGACGAGGTACGAATAGTAGTTTCTTGGCTGATGAAACCCAAGCTGCTGGAGCTGTCGGCGCGCCAGCTAAGCTATTCAAGTAGAGTGACAAGGAGTTGATAAGGTGCTTGCATCAACTCGTATGTGTAGAAAGTCTGCTCTGCCTAATCTATAAGAAAGGCTGCCCTGCCATATGCACCAACTACCGCGGATTCAGCCTTCTAAGCGTATCCTTCAAGGTCTTATCGAGCGTATTGTGTAAAAGGTTAAAGCTCACCGTAAACGAACTGATTGGGATTTATCAGTGTAGCCGTGGCTCTGGTAAATCCACCATAGACCAGGTATTCTCCGTCGCACAAACGTTCCGGCTTTAAAGGTATTAAACGCGGAACCTGCTGATGACAGCTGATGAATGATCCAGTGCAGGAGGATTTGACTTCACTTGGAATTTCCAATCGGCGTCAGTTGGTACAGAGGAGAAACGAAGTCGCTTAAGCAGTTATAGGCCATAAAAGATGAAGAATAAAATCATTTGGCTAGAGAGGGCTCAGACCAAGCATTCCACGCCAAATCATAGAATGAAATGCCACTAGCTAGGCATTTTCGGGCCTGACATCTGATCGGATTGTAAGAGGAACAATGAGCTTCAGCTGCCACGTGATACTAGCATTACTCTGGACCAGTTACAGTCTGGATACGGTAGCCGTCTGAACTCCTACCTATACAGACTTGACCTCGACATACCCAATGAGTGTTCAGCATGTGAAGATGCCCTCCAGAGACGATGTCAACTGCAGACGAATCATCCGTGTGGCATATCGTTCGAGATACAAAATAACTAAAAACTAAAAATTAAAAACTAAATATAATTATACATACATACATACTATTTACATATCGTCGCTACCATGTCAAACTATTGAATGTGCTAAAATGCTTTTTCATTTACGATATCTTGCGCATGCGCTTAGAATGATACGTAAGTTGGCAAATCTTTGAATTTCTAGTCCTCTTGGAAGCAGAGGATACTGGCTTTAACAAGGTGTTGAATCCTACACTTTTTTCTAATGACAACAACATTTTTTACAACAATTTTTTTGCTCTTCTGAAAAGTACCCATTTTCACATTCAATAGTTTGACATGATAGCTACGATATATAGAATTATTATACATATTACTTAATTTTAATTCAAATTTCGATTTACTTTTTATTTTGTAAATTGATAAATTGTATTTTTAGTTCTTTTTACATACATACATATTTACCTCAAAATTGTACTATTGCATTATTCGGTTTGTTTTGATTTTAATCCTTTGCTAATTTTCACATTTTTTTTGTGACAAGAAACAATTTGTGTATGTGTGTATGCACGCAATTTTTATATTTCACATAGGTTTTTTTTTACCGCTAATACATACAAATGTATTCGCCCACTTACATTTAGGATAGAAGTAAAAAGTTATAAATACATACACACATATATATGTATGTATGTATCTAAATAGAAATATGCAACTTCGAATAATTTTATTATAAATTTTGTAATTTTGATCAAAAATTTGGTTATGCTTCCTATTTATTTGAACTGAACAAGACGTTCCAGAATTTTGTCCGAAAAGGCACATAGTTATATTAACCGTTCACATGACCACTGCTTTATGTTTAAATTACTTCTAACATATACATACGTATATAGTACATAATATGTACATACTTACATATTTCTGCAACTAAGCATTTTGGAAAAATGTGTTTGAAAATTGCTCATTCTTTGTTTTTAACTACAAATATTTACTATGCCACTTGACTTACGTTACTATATCTCAATAACCGTTACAGCGTATGCCACTAAAGCTACCATTCATCCGCCCATAACTATAACCCAATCGATCGTACGGAGAGCCATAGGGCGTTCGAGCACTCAAAGGCATTTCATAAGGCGACGCAGGGGAGCCACTACTCGCTCGAGCGCCACCGTATTCGTAAGGCAAGTCATAGGGAGAGGGCGCGCGGCGGCCATACAACCACATGTCACGATAGCTGTTGCCGCTATTGAGCGGGTACGGAGGATGCGCTTGACCTCTGTAGTATGGGTGAGTAGCTGGCAGGTGCTGGTGGGGATAGTTGGCATGTAACCGTTGTGTGTGATAGCCGCTATTGTCCGAGTATCTACGACTAAAATAATCGTGTGATGCATATTGCTGTTGCTGTTGCTGTTGGTGTTGTTGCTGCTGTTGTTGATGAATTTGTTTAAGCTGCAACTGTTGCTGTTCATGTTGCATATGTAATTGGTGTTTTTGTTGTTGTTGCTGTTGCTGTTGCTGCTGCTGTTGATGCATTTGTTGCAATTGCTCTTCGACATTGAAAGATTCGTAGGTGCCATTGAAACTATGACAATCAGGCGGACTTAATAGAAATGTTTCGAAGAAACGACCGATTTCTGTGGAGCCAAAAGCTTGCTGAAAGCCCGGCAAGGGTGTCATATCCTGTGGATAAAATTAGAAATTAGGTTGACTTGAATTTCTTTAATTTGCAATGCAATGCCTAACTACACATATATATGTCTTTAGATACATACATATGTATATCACTAATGGCCAAAATAAAAGAAACGCCTTATTTTAACCAGGTTTGGCTATATTTCTTTTCTTTATTTAATATTTATTATTTATTTACTAAAGTGCAGCGCAAAAATTATAAAAATTCTGCAAAGGCGCATCAAAATTCTCAACTTGTTAATCACATTTTTTAGAATTTTTTTGGGTATGCAGTTGTATAGCCCATTTAATTTTAGTAAAGTGTAAAACGTAGGTTTCTAAAAAAACCCGTTGATTTTTGCTATATTTTTTTCTGACTGTATAAAAAAACCGTCGAACATACCGAGCCCTAACCGCCAAAATAACGTAAGCGACACTTTTTTCAAAATTTTCTTTTTGATGCAGAAATATTCCTAGAGCATCTAGATGCATTTCTGCATCAAAAAGAAAATTTTGAAAAAAATGTCGCTTACGTTAGTTTGGCGGTTAGGGCTCGATACTTTGTAAGGGAAAAAATGCGGGGAAAAAAATTTCCGAAAATCAACGCGATTTCTTAGCAACTTTAAAGTTATACCTTTTTATACTAAAATTGAATTGGCTAAAATAAAAAACTGCTTACTCAAGAAATCTGACGAAACAGTTGAGAACTTTGATGAAACTTTTCAGAATTTTTATAATTTTTGCACAAAGTTTGAAATATGAATTTATATGATCTTTGTAAGATATTGAGCTGCAGGAAGTGTCAATTGGCCCCGCTGCATCCCTTTTTCGATAGTTCCTAACTAGTCCAAAATTCTATTGTTCCGAACTAATTCTAAAATCGACGGACGAAAGAAAAAGTGTGTTGATTTTTCAATCTTTTCGGTTCTTCCAATTTTGCAATTATTTTCAAAGAAATGTGTTTTCAATTTGAAACTAAATTTGTTTAAATGATTGTATGGAATGTACGTTTACATACATTTGGCTGTAACTGAGTTTGTAGAGGTGCGTGCTGTTATTGGTTAGACTCCCAAGATGTTAAAATGTTAACACAAATTTTTGTTTGGTATTACCAAGCTATGAAAAGGAATCTGCGAAGTGCAGAATGAAAGCGTGTTTGAACGAAAAAGCCACCAAACACATACCTATGTAAAGTAAACAAGCCCCCCGCTGCATCCCTTTTTCGATAGTTGCGAACCAGTTCTAAATACGCCACCTTAGATATAGATTTCTATTGAAAAAAGTGAAATAAAATTGTTTGTTAAAAGAACCACATTTCGCTGATTTTGAACTAATGGGGATCTAGTTACTTTTGGACTAGTTCGTTTTAGGCGATAAAGATCTAGTACGGAACTAGAAATTTTATTTACTAGTTGGCGGCTTCCTTGCAGGGAAATAAGGCGTTTCTTCTATTTTGGCCATGGGTGTACAATAGGGTGGTTCAAAAATACAGACAGGGGAGAAAAAAGTTTAAAATTTTAAGCTCTCACCCCTAGTATTTACTAAAAGACAGTACCCAACTTTTATTAAACCATTTTTAAATACTAACTATTTTTTATAGGTCCCCCAAAATCTCCAAAAAATGCAATGGGAATACCCTCAAAAATCGGTAGATTAAAAAGTTGGGTACTTTTTCTGGAAGCAAGTTTTCCGATCGAAAAATATTCATTTTCAAGAACACTACCATTTCTACGAATAAGTGTGTTTTGCCCATATAAAATACACCCAAAACTTCATTGACTTTGAGGCAGTTCTAAATATGTTTTTTTTTTTTTTTTTAAAAAAAAAAAGAAGGGTATTCTATTTTCCATTTAAAAATATCTAGGGGGTTGGAGGTTAACATTTTAAACTTTTTTTGGGCCATTCTAGTGTACATACTATGTACATGTCTATTCAATATACAACTATTCGTAAAATACCTACCCGTTTGTCCTTGCCACCTTCGCTCGCCTCCACTTCCTCATTGTCTTTCTGCCATTTCCCAGGCACAAGGTGCGTTTTCCGTTTCGATTTTTTGCTTGGTATCAAATCACCTTCCATTATTCGACTTCTATTCGTGCGTATTGTTGCAGCTGCAGCTGCTGCCGCTGCCGCCACTGCTGCCGCCGCTGCAGCAGCAGCTGCATTTGTAGGTGGTTTCAGTGGTGTCGCTGCTGGCAGTGCACTATATGCAAATGTGCCCATATTAGTAGTGTTGATTGTGGGATTGTAATCGACTGGCGAGTTCTGTGGAGGTGCTGGTGGCACAGGTGGAGATGGTAATTCGTATTGATACAACTGTGTGTGTTCGAAATTCAGGTTCTGATGTGGTGACTGCGGCGTTGATGATGCCCACGCTGCATTAATGCTGTTCGAGAAATTAGTTTTCACATTTTCAGCGTTTTGTGTGATTTCTTCTATTTCCGTTTCTTTTTGCTGTCGCAATTCTGTGTGCTCCTTGCAGTCGCTTTTACTTTCTACATTTGTGGATGTACTCTAAAAAATTAAGGGAATGTATGAAATATAAGTTCTTTTTTTGCTTCTCTATTGCGTCTAAATAGTAAATATGCGCATCGTTAATTAATCTTAGATAGCGGCCGTAAATTATTTATGTTTTTGAAATAAACATCTGTAATTAAAATTTAATTTCTATTTTTTCAATCATATTTTGTTGTAATGATACATTTTTATCCCGCTTTTATTAACTTCATTTGGAACTATGTAATTTATGCTGTGCCTAAAAGTATGCAGCAATTTTAAGTTTTAAGGACATCACACTAACAGGTCTATTCTGCACGTTACCGAAGATTTTGTAACCGGAAAATTGTATTACCAAAAAATGTTACCAGTTCTTGTCACCGCGATTCTAGGTACGTTGGTAATGCAGTTAAAATTTTCAGCAATTCAGCTGTGAAGAATTGTGCAAATCCTGGCATTGCATATTTCACGGGGCAATAATTTGTTACCAGCTTATGAGATGGTAACAAAATTTACCGGTTACAAGAGTATACAGAATGCGAAAAGGGTTAAAAAATTGACAGGAACTTTATTTACCGCTTACAAACTTTTTATTACCAGCGCAGAATAGACCTGTAAGTGGTAGCGTTGCCGTCGATACCGCTAATAAGGGCCAGTTTTTCCGTTGCAGTTTAAAATTAGATCACGTAAATTGAGTTTAAATTGAACAGCTGGCTGATATTTGATTCGCTAATCTTAGTTTAAACCAGCCAGCTCGGATGTTTAATCTAAGTTTAAGCCACAGCCGAGCACTGAAAAACTGACACTAAGAGAAAAGCCGGGGGCGGTACTAAATATGTGTTAGAGGAGAATGGCTGTATGAAATAAACTCGCTTTCTGTTGATTTTCGCATGTTGTAATTAACCTCGACTAATTTAGAAGACCACTCTCCAATTACAAGTTCAAAAAGTTCCACAAATGATGGACAAATCAATCTTGAATTTCGATCACAACATTTTTGGCGCATGAAAAATCTACACCAAAACTATATATTTCTGATGTTAAAGATTGCAATGTAACTGCTGTGGTTCCATCTGTTTTACGAAATTACGGTCACACGCAAAAAATACCTGGTGACTTCGGAATGTGGGGGGAACCTTTCTATGTGTACGTAAAAATACGGTTTCGTATTTATTAGAATTTATAATAGCTTCCAACTTAATTTTCGGAAAAATCCGGCCCCTTTGAAAATCCGTTGCCGGGGGTACTTATTTAAAAATAAATGTGTGCGAATATCGAAGGCAAAGTGGAAGATCGACCTATCTTTGCAGCCGGTTCAAAAACGCCGTATTTCAAAACACTTTTCAAGAACGTCCTACTTCAGAATTAGTTTGAAGAACGCCCTATCTCAGAATTTGGTTAAAAAACGCTCTATTTCAACTGAAGATATGTTGAGATAGAGCGTTTTTGAATCGGCAGCTGAAAATTGCGAATGCTAAATTTAATGCGCCCCGCGGCTGAGAATGCAAATATTCGTAACAACTCCGGTATGTATGCATAACTATTGATTTCAAATACATAGTTGCCAAAAGTAAAAATTACTCATACGACATGGAGTTTTGCAAAGGTGCTGATCCTTAGTCTTATAATATAATAATAATAGATTGGCGCTTACACATATGTTAGTGTTTGGCCGAGCTTCTCCTCCGATTTGTGGCGTGCGCCTTGATTTTGTCACACAAAGCGGAGGGACCTACAGTTTTACGCCGACTCCGAACGGCGATTGCATTTTTATGAGAAGCTGTTTTTCATGGCAGAAATGCACTCAGAAGTTTGCCATTGCCTACCGAGGGACGACCGCTGTCAAGGAAAAACCTTTTTTCTATATTTTTTTTTGCGATGTTGCTTTGACCAGGGTGCTGCGGAGTGGAAGCGCGCACTGCTTACTACTACACCACGGCGGCCGACTATAGTAGTCCTATATGATGATATATTATCATCTTAACCATGATACAAAAAGGAGGTAGTTCCATTGTCACTTTTTCGTCGCCATATTAACTACCTGACAATTAAGCAGATAGGAAGATTTCATGTTACCATACCCAATATCTAAAATCCTTCACATTTTATTACTAATTTTTTGTTTATTTAAAAAGTTTTGTTCTTACAGCCAATTTCACGGTTCGGTTATTTGTACAATAATTTTGGATTATCCAAACGCGTGACCCGAATCAAAAAACACACAGGTTTGTATGTACGAACAGTGTACGAAAATAAACTATATTGTACGTTACTATTTCGTTTCGTTTATTACTTCAACAGTTCGGTACAATACGAAAACAAAACGGCTGAGTTCACTTTGGTGATAGTACACTACAGTATTTTAGTAGTTACAGACGAAACAACAAACGAAATGAATCGTGCAGAGAAAAATATATGTATGTATGTACATATTTGCAATAACTAAATACAAAACGAATGGCTGCAATGAATAAAAAAAAATAGAAATGATTTTTAATTGAATTGGATATAAAATTTACAGAAAAAAATATTTTTCACGTAATTGAAACGTTTGCATACATATAAAACGTACCTTATGGTACAATTGTCACAAACGAAAAGCAACCGTTTCTCGTTGGGGAAAAAGACAGTGGATCTTACAATTTGTTTCTGACTATGTACAAAACTGTACAAAACCACAAATGATATGATGATCGATGAGCAAATGGGAATTGTTTTGTACAGTTTATTTTCGAACCCTGTGTACAAATGATAAAACGTTAGTTTAAAATAAAATTTTAATTTTCCGAACACAAATTTATTAATAAATTCGGTTTGAAATATGGACTTTTTGTAAGAAATACTGTGGTCAGCGTAGCTGGAAATGAACCGATGAAGATTATTTGATTTAAGCGCGGCACACATAACCGAACATTTATCCTTTTGTTTTTGAAAAACGAGAGGACTAAAGCTGAATTTACATGAGGCGATTCAACATTGCTGAAGAAAAATCGCTCGTGTAAATGACGATTCAAAAATCGCTTGCCTCAAAGTTGACAACAAGTCGCCTGTCAAAAAATCGCCTCACGTAACGGTAGCTTAATGCTCAATAAGTTGATAATTGTAGTTCTAGTTTGCATACTAACCATAAAATATCATCATTTAGTTTCACATCCCTTCCAATATTGAACAGTAAAATATATTTATTTTTACCCAAAGGAACAACGATATTGTCAAAATATACTAGAAATGGATAACAATCACTTCTCTGAAAGTCATGAGGCACATGGGTCTCAAAGTAAATTCCACTTTCAAGTTACTTGAAAGACATGCAGTTGAATGAACAAAGACAATGTATCAGAAACAATCGTATCCGATATAGAAAACTGTAATAGTCCTGGCAAGCTACATTGTGAAGTAATCAGATGTCATAAGGATACTAAAAAAATATTAAAATATGTTCACTAAAATTGTACTAATCTAAAAATAAAGTTTTAATGTAAAATTCAAACTTTTCCAAGATAATATATTAATTATTTATAAAAGGTAAATGTTAATTCAGCTATTTTATTTATAATCCCAAATTTCTGATATAAAGTTCCCTCCAACCCCTTTGGGTGGCAGACGTGACATTCGTACGACTTTAGAGTTAAAGAAATCATACGAAAAGAGAAGTCACTTATAAAAAAAGGCAGGCAATGGCAAACCTCGAGTGTATTTCTCTTTCTGCCATGAAAAACAGCTTCTCATAAAAATACAATCGCCGTTTGGAGTCGGCGTAAAACTGTAGGTCCCTCCGCTTTGTGTGACAAAATCAAGGCGCACGCCACAAATCGGAGGAGAAGCTCGGCCAAGCACTAACATATGTGTAAGCGCCAATCTATATATATATATATAAAAAAAGGCCATTGTCGTCCTCTCGTTGTAAATAAAATTAAGTTCGCTTGGAACACTGGTGTCGGAAAAATCGAGAAAAGGGTACCGCGTAACGGACGTGACAAAAACAGAAGTGGTTTCAGAGTACACGTAAACATAAGCAAAACTATGCGAATCCTGTGAGGTTTTCCTTTCCTTAATATTCTTTAAACAAAGTCCAATCACGGACCATTACAACCAATTCATTTTTAATCAGAAGCATTTTGTTGCTGGTTTATTTTTGAATTAAAATGTGATAACGGGCGTGGCAGATTTTTCTCGCATACAATATTTTTACTAGTAATACAAATATAATTTAATTTTTTATTTAATTTTTTCAGCTCTTCTCTCCACCGTTTCGCGTTTTCATAACCTTTTTACGATATCTGAATACGAAATTTATGGAGTTTAAGTGTTTAAAGTGACAGAATAACTGTGAATCTGGCCAGTCGTGTAACTACTTCAAACCTGATACCGAAATGGATGTCATGACTTAGATATGTAAAAATGTTGGCAGGCATAATGGACTTGTACGAAATTTTCCGATATGTACGCATATTGAAGTTTTCGCCTACAAGTAAACGAGAATGTTTTGTGTAGGGTATAGGCGCTTTCAGTTCCAGCCTTAGACTCAACTTTCCATATATGTATGTACATATGTATGTATAATTTCGGAAACATCAACAACCAAAAAGAAACATAAACATGCATATATGTATATATGAATGTATGCATATGTAGGTATGAAAATGATGTTAACAATGCGAGTGCATTTGAACGCTGTTCAAGTTTAGAAAGTCGTCAATATTCAATGCCACGGTATGGCAATTCTTCGAACGCCAATGACGCATGCAAGGACCCCAGTCTAACTTTGTACCTATGTACTATGTACAAAGTTTACGCATACACGCATATTAGCAAGCGCACGTGCAACGTAAAAGAAAAATATAAACTATAAATCAACAGAGAAGCAACAAATAATGCTCAGCTACTCAATTTAGTAGCCGAAAGAGAGGAAACCACTCAAATCTTTTTAATATTGCCGGGTTTGAGTGGAGAGGGGACTGTTACTAGCCATAACTGTATAGCGATGCAAAATGGAAGAGAGTTAACACCTCCACAGATGTCCACAATACATCATACTCATACCCTGCCGGTAACACCAACAACCGACATGAGAGGTGGCAAGGTGCTAGGTTCGCCCAAAAATTTACAAATGTCTGCTTCGCCATCAATTACTAACTCTACATTTTACATAAATAAAAAATCGATAAATGAATTAATGCCTCAATTTTGGCTTGTCAAGTCTTGCATCCCCTACAGACTGGTATTGCAGGTTTGATTTAAAGTTTGTTTATCTTACCAGCTCGGTAAGCCCTCTCTTTTTACGTTATATGTATCTCCTGATTGCTCCCACGGTTTAACTTGCAATGAAATAAATAGCTGCATGCGTAAACAAAAACGCTGCCGGTCGATAGAGCTCGTCACTTGGTACCACAGTACCCTTCTCAGCGCCACACCTTCCCAATTAAAGCTCAATTCAAATACCGTAATGCAATTTTTTTCCCTGGGAATGCTCTACTCAGTTGGCGCACATCACAGATATACCAGCAGCTCTTTAGCACCATAAGTTCTACATAAGTATCAGCATGGTCCTTTTCAACGCTTGACGCAAAAGCGCATTTTCGCGGGCCAGGCTAAGAAAATGTGCTTTTGCTCTACTTTTCTAGCTACGGAGCAGGCACATGAGTATTTTTATACCCGAGCGCACTTGTGCACAAGGGTATATTAATTTTGTTCACATAACGGTTGTTTGTAACAGCCAAAACGAATCGAGATAGATATAGACAAATGTATACATAAATGATCAGGATGAAAAAAGAAATCGATTAAGCCATGTCTGTCTGTCCGTCCGTCTGTCCGTCTGTCCGTCTGTCCGTCTGTCCGTCTGTCCGTCTGTCCGTCTGTCCGTGTACACGATAACTCGAGCAAAAATTGAGATATCTCAACGAAATTTGGTATGTAGGTTTCCCTTAATCCAAGGTAGGTTGGTATTGAAAATGGGCGAAATCGGACTTTAACCACGCCCACTTCCCATATAACGGTAATTTCCAGAAATACGAAAACTGCGATATTTTAGTAACTACTGAAGATTATTCACTCAAAATTGATATTTGTAATAATTTTCAGACGAAAAATAAGAATATTATAAATTTTTAGAAAATGGGCGTATCCACGCCCACTTATGGTTACATGTGTATATCTTGGTAACCGCTGCACCAATTTCTTCCAAACTTGGCACAGTTGTTGGCCTTCACATAACATACCAAATGGCCGAAAATTTTTAAAATCGCTCAATAACCACGCCTACTTCCCATATAACGGTAATTTTCAGAAAAACGAAAACTGCGATATTTTAGTAACTACTGGAGATTATTCACTCAAAATTGATATTTATAATAAGTTTTAGACGAAAAATAAGAATATTACAAAATTTTGGCAAATGGGCGTAGCCACGCCCACTTATGGTTACATGTGTATATCTTGGTAACCGCTACACCAATTTCTTCCAAACTTGGCACAGTTGTTGGTCCTGGTACAACATACCAAATGGCCGAAAATTTCTAAAATCGGACAATAACCACGCCCACATCCCATATAACGGTAATTTCGAGAAATACAAAATCTTCGATAAATCAGTAAATATTGAAGCTAATTTATTCAAAATTGATGGTTGCAACAATTCTTTACCAAGAAATACGTTTATAACAAAATTTTGGAAAATGGGCGTAGCACCGCCCACTTGTGATATGTATCTCGCTAGCCGTTCTAGCAATTTGTACCAAGCTCGGTATGGTTATTGTGCTTGCCACATAAAAGCAAACCGTTGAAAATTGTTGAAATCGGACTAAAATTGAGGCCGCTTTTCATATAACGGTAAATTTCAAAAATGCTTGAAATTTCAATATTTCGAAATTTAAGGACGCTAATTTACTTAAAATGTATACATCCCGGCTTATCATGTAGCGGTAGCTTTCGGAAAGGTGGAAAACATATATTTAATACTTGCGCCGGGTATTTAATGTTCGGCTCCGCCCGAACTTAGACTTTCTTACTTGTTTGTTTTAACTATGTAACTATATACATATGTATGTATATGAAATTTTCATTTTTGCATGTATTTTGTTGGTATGTACATTTTATGTAAAAGCTTTGCTCAAGAAATTCGCTGTATCCATGATGGTGTGTAGCAGTGAAAAAAAGAAAACAAAACTAGTGGGTATTGAGAGATGGATGCTGGGGTAAGAGCTTTCCGGTAGCATATTTATTGATTTAAAATTTGAAAATCTAGGATCTTGTTGGTGGTGCGTGTATTGAATAAAAGTGCAGTTACGGTAGGTACATATATGTATATACATACATACATGAGCTATGATATGATATTCTGCCAACTATTTTTCTGTAAAAAATGTGTTAGACTTAAACACATTTAGAATAAGCAGTAGGTTGTTATATCCACTACTTATCAGTAACTAAAAGAAAACTGCAGTATCCATCGGAATCAATATCGAGTGCACCGTGGCGTATGAGTGATATTTTCAGGGTAAGTCGCTAATTTGCAAAAAGTTCAAAAAAATCGACTTGTTCTTTAGTATAAGTGAGTGTTACAGCACTTTTCATCGAAAATTTCTTTGAAAATTTATTTCTGATAAATGATTTAATAACAATTTTTTTCTTTGCTGTTGTTGTTTCCGACAGGGTTTTTAATACGATGTATTTTGGTTTGTCTCCAAACCAAATTTGACAAGGGTTGACGTAAACTCGTTCCAAAATACATCGATTTAAGAAAAGTTTGTTTTCAATAATTCTCTCGGTATGCTAAGTAAATATCATTTCGATGCAGTTTAAGTTTCAAACTTATGGTGTTTTCGTTTCTAATAAAAAATTTCACCTTTTGATTACCCCTTTCTCTTTTCGTGCTCGATTCTAAAATTAAGGCAAACGGTGGGAAAGTTTTGTGTTCGTTTTTTAAAATGTAAATTTTTTGGAAAGCGAAAAAATGCACATTATCGGCTTTGTCAGGGGTGATGGTTGCCTAAAACGACAATATTATGAAATGCGTGAGCTAGATAGGGTCAGGAAGGCAAAAACATGCCCTTTTAGGGGGTTGAGTGTAACATCAAACAAATTTTGCACCGTGGAAGGGCGAATATTTTAGTGGGAGTAATAAAAGCGAGCGAATTTTGTGATTCACTAATATAAAAACTATGTACATGTATACATATCTATGTATATGTATGTAGGTATTTCCTAAACATAAGTTCATATTCTTATGTATGCTGTTTCGAAACTTACCATATGCGCATCTAAATGGGGAGAATCATTTGATTTCTTTGTGATATTGGCTTCTGGAAGTTGTGCCGCTGGTGAATTAACTGGAAAATGTTTTGTTGAATCTAGGGGTGTACTCGAAGAAGCGGCGCTAACTTCCAGGCGGCATGCAGACACATTTTCCTCCACATCATCTTGGCTCCTTTTATCATCTATAAAGGTATAAACAAGAAATTGAATAGTTTACAATACTTGAAATGTTGCTGTGCAAAGATAATAAATAAGCACACACAAACTAATTTTAAGAAATATCTAGTCCACAAGGTTTTGTTATCATAGACTTAATAAAGGAATTAAGTGTCTTCTTTTAATCTATCCCTAACAACATTAATGAAAAAAACAACGACGACAGTGCACTCTTGTCAAAAACAATCGAAGAACCAATTGCAAATTGATCTGTCTGCACTTGGCATTGATAGTTTAACGGAACATATTAAAAAAAAATATAGCCGGCAAATAGAAAATCTTCTCCTTTTTTTAATCCGCGCAATGAAAACTGCTCTATGCGCAAAAAAGTAAAATACATACGTGGTTATGCTTACATATATGCATGTATGTACATTCCCAAAGAGCTTTTCTTTAATATTCCTAATTGCCCAAGCTTAAGGACTATTTGCAGCTCTCAAGAAAAATCACAAGAAATATTTTTCATTATTTCTGTTGGTTGGAAATGTACTTTGGTTTTGCTGTACATTTTCTTGAAGAATTAATAGTCTAGCATTTTTTCTTGAGAGCTGCAAACTGATTTCAGAAATTTTGATAGAAGAAATCTATTAAGCGGTGACTGTCTGTCCGTCCCTCCGTCTGTCCGTCTGTGCACACGATAACTCGAGTAAAAATTGTGATATCTTAACGAAATTTAGTATGTGTACTTTTTTTCAGCGTAGGACAGATAGTGTTGAAAATGGGGTAAATCGGACAATAACCACGCCTACCTCCCATATAACGGTATTTTTCCCAAATACGAAAACTGCGATATTTTAGTAACTACTGAAGCTCATTCACTCAAAATTGATATTTACAATGTTTTTAGCATAAAAAAATAAGAATGTTTTAAATTTTTGTAAAATGGGCGTAGCCCCGCCTACATATTGTCACATGTGTATATATTGGTAACCGATCCACCAATTTCTTCCAAACGGCTGAAAATTTTTAAAATCGGACTATGACCACGTCCACATCCAATATAACGGTAATTTTGAAAATTACGAAATCTTCTATAAATCAGTAAATACTGAAGCTAATTTATTCAAAATTGATGTTTGCAATAACTCTTACATTGGAATGTTTTGAAATTGGACTAAAATTACGGCCAATTTTCATATAACGGTAAATTTCCGAAATGCTTGAAACTTTTCGAAATTAATACTAAAAACAATCCCTTGAAAAGAAGTAACATTATTTGGAGTTTTGGAATATGGGTGTGATTTCGCCCACATATGACTATATAAGTTTATCTCATTATGTCTAACTGAACGTTCTATCGAAGATGTTTAAAATAGGGGTAAAACCACCCCGGCTTACCATGTAGCGGTAGTTTTCTGAAAGGTGAAAAACATATCGTCGATGTTTTTGCAAAACCGACCATCGACCAGTTGCAAAACCGCCCAAATCGCCGTTTTAGCAAAAATGAGATTTGGTAACCCAGGCACCGAGATTTATGCATAAAAATCGTTAAATCGTTATTAAAACAACATATTTGTAAAACAATAGCTAGTGAAAATACCGCCTATCAAGGCAATGCCTTTGAAGAATAAACCGCTTTTCGCTCTCCTGTAAAATTTGAGTGCCGTAAGATAGGCGGTTTTGCAAAAACATCGACGATATATTTAATACTTGCGCCGGGTATTTAATGTTCGGCTGGGTCCGAACTTAGACTTTCTTACACCCAGAAAAAGGTTTAGTTATAATAACCAAGATTTGGTTATAGTGTACAAGTGGCATAGTTGGATATGGCGAAATAAATATATAGTTCACGAAAGTCTGCAATTTACTTAAGACTTCTAGTTGGGACAAATGTATATTTGTTAATAATTACAAAACGACTACCTTGATTGGACAATATTGTTAGTTGAATAAAATCATTGTTGAGCAAATATAAACAATGCTTTGGTTGATACAAGTTTTCAATTAATTTTGTGAACTTGCCGTAGACTTGAATCAGCTAACCGTTTATTATTGGGAAAAAAGTTTCAGTTTGACACAAATAAAAATTTACTCGATGTTTGTTGTGTTTACTTTCTTCTTTTATTTGCATATATTAAGCATAAAAATACGTTTATATTTACATAAGTTAGTTACTAAAGTAAATAATACATATGTATATGGTGGTATGAATTTCCAAAAAAAAAAAACGATGAAACAGGAACAGTCGTGCGAAAACCCAGGTCAATATCTGCTGGAAGTATACTGCTTTGCTTTTTCCTTAGCTAAATAGACACTTTCAAATTATAATTCACGTGAATTATATATCCACTGAAAAACCCCGGTTGGCATCAAACTTTATATTTTTAATTAAACTTTAAACGATGCGCGCACCGAAACAACTCGCGATGATAGCAAAACTGAAACTGAGACAAACAAGTATGGGCATGTCATATCACACATGGCGCAGCGATCGACATGCCATAGCTTACTGAGCGCTCTGGGACCACATGCGTGTTTCACCCATATACGAACAGCGGTAGCGGAGCAATGATTTCCACGCACAATGCAATGGTCGGCATACTAGCGCATTCAAACGATTCAATAAGTGGGACTGTGTGCATTGCTCAGCTGGCGCTCTTCGTATGTGCTCAGAGAGCGCTCAGCATTCTTTAGGGCTCACAAGCATGAATATGTTCCACTCTCAAACCAAATCGTGGTTGCCTCAACTAAGATTTGGTAACTATGACTAAACCATGTGTTGAAAGAAAGCTTATTTGTATTAGCAGAGCTTAATGACATCCTTTTATGAACCATACGTTAAGTTGAATGGAATTTGTAGAAATATGCTTCAAAGAAATATTTATTAGTATTAACCAAACCCTTCAACTAAATTAACGATTTGTTACAACCTAGATGAATATTAGAAGCTTTAATATATTTAGTTATAATTACCAATCGATGGTAATAGTTCCCAATCCTTGGTAACAGTTCCCAAATATTGTCAAAATTCGGGAACTAAATATCTTTAGTTGTCGAAACTAATCCTTTTTCTCAGTGTACTCGTTTTACGTTGTTTTTATTGTACACTCAGAAAAAAGTCAGCCAAATATATTTCTACCAACACATGATTTGGTAACTATAACCAAATAATGTGACTATAACTAAATCATGTGTTGAGAAAAACATATTTAGTTGACGTAACTAAACTCTTTTCTCAGTGTAAGGCTTACGGAACATAAGCTTTACTAAATTTTTGTATAGAGTTGCAATTCTTTTTAGTGTACCAAAATTATGAAGGCTTTCTGGAAGGTATGATTTCTCTCCAATATTTTGTTGGGTGAAAGACAAACTATGTAGCTATCGATTGGCATGTATACATTTTGTCCAGGCAAAATTTTATTTTTTTGCTCTTGGTTGACACTTTCAAGGAAATACCCATATGGATGTAAGTATATTCACTCCTACCTATGTATGTACATATCTTCGTTGCTCATTCATCACTACAGCCTTTCGTTGAGTTCAAAGAGAGCATGTGCGCAACTTGTTGCACAACGCGTGGGGGTCAATGATGTTTCTTGTTTAATATTTTTTTTTTTGTGCGCTTTCTTTTACTTACTTAGATTCTCTACATTGTACGTGACTATGAGTTTTCTAACGGAGCGCTCAACATAAGTAAGTACATACAAATGATTCGTTTCCATTTAAGGCGCATGTCTTGAGAAATTTGAAGAGAAAAAAAGAGCAGAAATGAAAATGAGCGGAAGAGCAGATGGCATGTCCGGCGGAAGAAGCTCATTGGGAAAGAATAGAAAACCAGTGTGCATCGAAAGAAAGCGTCTCTCAATGACATAATGCGTTCGGACTAGATGAAATACGTTGAGCCTACGTTTGCTTACTATTTACAACACATGCGCGAAAAAATGTTGCGAACAGTATCCACACGCGTGCATATGTACATATGTATGTATGTTCGTATTTAGTTGCATTTGCGTACATATACTTTAAACAGTGGACCAAAATGATAAACATTTTTATTTATTTGCTTTAAAAACTTTTTCCATTTTCAAAATTCATCTTATTAGGCCAGGAAACAAAGGGAAAGAAGGTCAAACCTTGGACTAATTAGGGGAAAGCTGCATTTTTGCATGGACCTTCCTTTTGTGGTTCTAAATAACATACCAAAAGTCCTCATAATTATAACCGATGTCCGCTAGATGTTTTTGCTGGGTCAAAGGCTACAACAAAGTTTTTTTGCGAAGACCGTGCTAGCGTTTACTTTCACGAAGAAAAAATTTTAAGTCACCTTTTTCGGGAATGTGCGTTCTCCTCAATATCTTGTCAATCCAAATTGTTGGAAAACAATTAGCAGGGTGCGTCGCCTTAAGGCTGCGAGAACTACCCGACTCCTAAAGAATATCAACTTACCGTACACGCATTTTGTACCAGGTCTAAACTTCACAAAGAGGTATATAATTTATATTCCAGATAAGGAATTTTGGTCCGTAAGGGCTCCTGATGAAACCATATCACTTCACTATGGGAGGGTCTTCCCAGCCATACAAGTGATGGTTGAAAACTTACGTACATGAGAAGTCATATGTAACAATATCCGCATCTACTCAGAAAGAAGCGGACTGCCGCAGTTCTCTAAACAAGATGACTGTGCAGTATTCTCTTCATTTGGTATGGATGCCGGGGTACCAGAATATACCAGCCAACGAAAAGGCGGATGAAATAGAAATTGAATAGTGGCATCCATAGAAAATTTTTGCTGTAAACCAGTGTTATTTAATATACTTATAGTATATTCGTTCTTAGAGACTACCATCAAAATCGTGCACACTATCATAATATGTACATATATCCTTTAAGTTAAGTTTTTCTACTGCTAATATTGCAGAGGGAATATTTTTTATGCAGCCATGATTCTAAAATCGCTAAATGCCATCGATTTTCTTGCAGGGTGATTTTATGGTCAGCTGTCGTACGTTTGCATACGTAAATT